GCTCCAGATATGTGTTTAAAATATGTGTTTCAATTCATGTAAGACATAATCTCATAAAATGTATGTAGATGATGACACTAAAGAGAAGAAGTTCAAATAAATCCATATAAATGCTTAAACATTGTATAAACATACATGTCACAAAATCATAATTCACTACATTTAAAGTGATAAAATGAAAATATCTTGACGACCCAATTTTTAAGCTCAATTACTACGTCAGACACTTTTTTTTTAAATACATCACCACTTTCCTAACTTGGAATGTATGTTTATGTCCTGAGATAGAACCTTTTCTCAAATCGACAAAATCAAACAGAATATGGAATAAATCTTTGTCTCAGAAGAATGGTATGACAAAGTAGCATCAGCTTCTCGGGAATTTTCAGTTATTAGAATGAATCAGTACATACTATTCACTTACTAATACCACCTTAAACATATTCTTCAACCATTCATCAACCGTACTTCAACCGTTCAAGGTCATCAACAATGTAACTGGATCTTTCAGAATTAGAAGTAGAAATCGAAACTTCATTTATGTAGGAAGAGATGTGCTTGTTTCTCTTGAGTGCAGTGGTATTATTCACTCCAGATGTTGCATATTTTAAGCATGACATTTTCATTGAATTCTAAAAAGTACAATGCTGCTATTAAAACTGTTGCAATAGTACATTTGTTCTGCGTACATTGAATATTACAACAACAATTGAATAATTACAACAGCCAACCCTGTACATACAACAAAATCCTAGAAATCTGAAACAGACACTGACGTGCTTTACAATGACTAATGTTTATTAAGGCGAATAAAACTAATATAATCGTAGATTTCTTCAATAAAGAACATTTGTTGCATATTAACTTTAATAACTTTAAAGTGAAATATTTGTGTTTGAATAAAAAACATAGAAATAAATCTATTATTCCTTAGTGAACTCATTGTAGATATTTTGTGTACAAGAAGCAGATATATCCAACACGTATTTATCTAATTATTACCTCTTTGTTCTGAACCTATGACATTTAAAATACGAATAAATGGTCACATTGTTCTCTTCGTCTACCTTATAGAAGTAAACATGACGCATGTCATATTCAAGTAATGTAAAATATTTTTCTCATTTTGCTCGAAATTTTACTTTTGGTAATTATCTGGTTCTTTAACCCAGGTCGTCAATTGCTCTCAATCCTTCAATTCGTATTGTGAAGTCCTGATATCGAAAAAGATGATAAATCGTACTACTATTTCCAATATGTGGTAAATTACTTTCTCTAATATGTTTAGTGAGAATCCACGTTATGCGGGTTCCGAATACCAAAAAATGGATTACGATTCAACTGTCTATCGACCGTCCGTCTTCCTGCCAGTCCATAGCACTTGAAACGTGCAAACTGGTTTATCCAAAATTTTGACCAGCAAAAGTGACACTATAGTGTATCAGAAAACTGACTACAGTTAGTATTGAATTAGTGTATAGTGCAATGTACAGGTAGGCTGAAACTAAATAGTAGTACTGAAGTGATAACACAAAATCTCGTAAGACTGATCCACCTAAAGAGATATGCAGAACCACAACTGCATTCTGGCAGGAGGCGCCTGCCCTTTCTGGTATGCAATGTACAAACAATAATAAATGTACAAACAAAATGTAATGCAAAGTGACCAGCAAAAGTGACACTATAGTGTATCAGAAAACTGACTACAGTTAGTATTAAATTAGTGTATAGTGCAATGTATAGGCAGGCTGGAACTAGATATTAGTACTGTAGCGATAACACGAAATCTCGTAAGACTGGTTCACCTAAAGAGATATGCAGAACCACATCAGCTTTCTGACAGGAGGCTCCTGTCGTTTTGGGGATTCAATGGTCTTAGATCATCATCATCATCATCATCATCATTATCATCAAGACAAAGCAGGGAGAACTATCGTTTAGAGCAGCCGGTCGCTAGAAGTTTCTTTTAGACAGCGGCTGAATTCGACCTAGCTGTGTAGTTGGTTTTGAGAATACGCCACCGTCGGGGCTCGAACCCGAATCAGAGTAACTGCAGTCAGAGTCATTACAAAGACAGGAGCAAATTGGGCGCAGCAAGTATTCATCCGGTACCTCCCACTTAAAGTAAGCTCTCCAATTAGCAGATTGCGTGTTTTTATCTGCAGTGTTTATCTCAAAGCTGTCACACTAACCTTTCTTGCATTTCGAAGTTGGAGTTTGATGTTATTGGATCTGTTTTACTGTGATCAGAAAATGCAACTCTACTAGAAATGTGTCGGTGAAATGACAATATTCTTAATGTTTGTATACAAATTTGTAGATGATGGTCTCATGATAATGATTTTCTGAATCATGAACACCAAAGGGTAACGGTGGTCATCAACAGACTCCATAATACATTGCAATATAATTTTAGAAACATATCACTATATTACCATCATTATCTGTAAGATTTTGTTAAAATGTTTTCAGTTATTTAGGCAGGTAAAGTCATATGTGTTTAGATCACTTTTTGTACTTTTAGTCTTTTTCGGGGAGACAGAGATGGCGGCGCCTTTTTCTGAAAAACTAATTTCACATTCACTGTTTCTGTGAGTGAACAACTGTTCTCTGCCCTGACTTATCATAAAATACAATTTCAACATTTTTTATAGGCAGGACAAGCTTCAAAGGATCGTTAGAGTTTTACGGAGCGATTATGACAACAGTTTTGAATAGTTGTGCAAATTGGGGTTTGTTGGCGAAAATATCACTATAATCTGTCATAATTGGGCAAGGTTCTAAAAATCAAAGTAATAGTAGTCAAAGACCTAAATGAAGAAATGAATCCTTACACAAACAAAGATAGGTGAGAAAAGTACTCTGAATTTCGTCATATGGTATATGACATATATGGTCGCCACGTTGGTATGCGAGTGTTCAATTTGAAACATTATAAAAAGCATACGCCACATGTGATTGAATCACATTGCATTTATACTATTTTAATTGAATTGAATTGAATTGAATTTGCCTTATTTTACGTGGCGAGACTCGGGCCATCAGGCCCGCTCTTCCGTCTGACCACGCAAATTTCGCTACGCTCCTTTCACCAATCCACCATTTCTCCTTCCACCATTTTAATGTCATCTGTTTCTCTACTGAATTGCATGCTGTACTGAATATGCGATATTGTAATCAGAAAACCTATTTTTATTGCAGGAAAAATGTAGCCAGATTTCCGGCAATGCTTACAGTCTTCATCGAGAACAGCTACTACAACCCTATGCGACGGATTGAACTATTCGGAACCATTGATTTTATTGGTAAGTACCAATGTGTGTGTGTGTGTGTGTGTGTGTATTACATATTTGCATTCGAAAGAGATGATCTCTAGTCAACAAAGGCACTCGATTTAATAAATTCTTGCTTGAGTGGTTCTTGAATGTTTTCTCAAATCGTCATTTTTTTTCTTGTGCACGATTTTAGTGCACACATTAAGAAATATTCATTTACTGTTTTTGTAATCTATTCAAATGTGAAGAACATAAAATATTCTTAAAAATTAAGTGGTTATATAATTTTGTTAACTAAAGAATTTAAAATCAAATTATTTTAAAAAATGTCTTGAAATATAACTTTAATATGACTAAAATTAGGTCTTTATGATGACCACGACAACTAAAAATGATGACTAAGATGTCTAATCATGACTTAAGTACTCATTCACTGTTTCTGCGAGTGCAATAAGTTAACATTCAGTGGTTCTGAGAGTCAATTAAGAGGACTTTAAGATGATCTAAAAGTTGACTTCCTTAAATGATATGAGTTAGTCATAATTAAAAAGTATTTGGTAAAACCCGCTGTTGGACTCACCGCTGTAGTGCTGGTCCTCGCAAACATCGCAAGTAATCGCTTGACGTCCTTAAATGATATGACTTAGTCATAATTAAAAAGTATTTGGTAAAACCCGCTGTTGGACTCAACGCTGTAGTGCTGGTCCTCGCCGCGAACATCGCAAGTAATCGCTTGACGTCCTTAAATGATATGACTTAATCATAATTAAAAAGTATTTGGTAAAACCCGCTGTAGTGCTGTTCGTCGCGATCATCGCAAGTAATCGCTTGCACTTGTCGCGTCGCAGCCAACTGCGGCGGGCTGCTGGGGCTGTGCCTGGGCTTCAGCGTGCTGAGCATCGTGGAGGTGCTGTACTGGCTGCTGGTGCGGCCACTGTGCCAGCGCCGCTGCTCCAAGCGGACACAGGCGCGGGACGCCGACGCCCCCGCCCACAAGGACTTCGCCGTCTTCGCCCTCGCCCCGCCGCGCCAGCGCTGACGCCCACAGCCCCACCCGAAGCCTACCAAATTTTCTTATTACTTATTAGATGGAATTTTATTCAGTGTTTTCTTGGCAACAAAAAGTGCACCTTGTTATATATATGAAACCACATTTCTGGCCAACACATTTTTGAAGATTTTGCACTAATTTGCAAATTTATTTTCTTCAATAGGCGGAAACATTCTAAGTGAAACATATAAGCAAGTTTTTTTAATTCCTGAATGAAAGATGTCGATTTAGCCGATATCGCGCAGGCATTGTTCACTCTTCGCTTGGTTATGCATATGTCGGTTCTAATCTTCGTCTAAAAACCGTGCTTAGCTGCTATACACCTGTGGTTACGTCCGGGGGAGAGGCGGAAGAAATGCCAACGTTGTCTGGTCCGCAACGTAGTTGACGAGTCACGTGAAGCAAAGGTCTAACGGTTTTGCTTCTTTTTTTAAAAAACTGTTCATATTCCCTTACGGTGTGTACTTTGAAGCGCTCCAGTAGCAAAAATGATGCAACCCAACAATTAGTTAGCACTACGTGTTGCAAAAACATTCTGCCTGAGGATCTAATGGCTTCTATGCGTGCATGAACGTCACAACAATTGCCATGCGCTAAAATTACCTTTGACATTAGAGATAATCATAATTATGCAGTATTTTCTTGAAAGAAAGTTTTTAATTTATGCACATATTTGGCATTTTAAAGGCGGGTTATTCTGATATATCTCAGCTAACAGTGAACCCTCGACTGGTCCCTGTTTTTATTTATTATCCACGGTTTGGGGTAACGGAGACATACGGCGAACTTGACCTACTTCCATCTCTCTACGTAGCTTACTTGACCTGTCTGAACTTTCCTTTAGCCACACAGCTGTAGAGACTGAAACAATTTTAATAGAAAGCTAAGTACTTTTTTGTCCCGTCCACACATCAAACCCGGAGGAAAGTAGGTAATAAGTTTAAAATTAAAACGCAATGTTATGTTAAAAATAATAAATATCTTTCTTTCCCTCTTCTGATTGATTACTTCGGCGTCATAAATATTGAAACGCAATATTTGAATCATGGATTGTGCAACGAGTAAGCATACGGTCATGGTGTCGGAGCACCGCAAGTGGTCATGACTATAGTGGCAATCAGTCAGAGCACTAAGGAAGGTCCTCTTAAAATCAATTTCTTTGGATCTAAAAACACAACGTGGCCTCATAAGATTAGCAATAAATATTGTTTGTTCTGTTTTCTCCTCAGAGCGTTTTGTCCTCGTAAAAAATGCTTAATCGTAATTTTTTTGATTTTGCCATCACTACTACTCTAGGCCTATTTCCATGACTGCAAGTCTCGTTGTATACTCGTTAGGTAATTAGTTACGTTTGTGAACTGCGAGTGCACTGCAATTCTGACGACCAACTTGCAGGCAACGTTTCTGACTGCTTTTGTAAACAATGCTTCTGTCTTATTGTGTATTGAAAAGTAATTACTTAGTATTACATACTTTAAAGTATATACTCACTTTGTAGTACTGTACATGATTAGTTACACTAAATATATTATATAACTGTAATATGTAAATGAATTTGCAATTTTCACTTCCATATCTCACTAAGACATTAGAGGGCCCTAGAAATAATTGAGCAATGAAAATTTATATTTTGAAGCACGGTCCTTTGAACATTTTCATCTTTCTCAAATAAATTGTAAGTATAGGATTTAACTTAGAATCCTGCAAACACTAGTATACAAATGTATTATAATTTATAAGCTACATAAAAATTCATAAACCATGTTGTTATTTATTTTTGTTCCTAAAACAGGTTCATCGGCCTATAATTTGAACATCTTGAGAAATATAATTATTCTAATTTACAGAGAAAAGGTTAAGTACTCAAGCAAATCATTTAAATTGAGAAAAATAATGTTTCCGCTTGCCGAACCATAATATAAAGTTAAATTTCCAGCATTCGAAGCCCTTAAATATCAGATGGGCTAGATACCTGGATGAGGGAACCCGCACTCCGACGTGCAGGCCAGCGACGTGAATCCCGACTACCGTCTGGGTAAGAACGCCACAACCTCTAGAGAGCTTGCTCTACACTTCCAGGAATAATAACCAACGCCAATGACTATAAGGTACAAAGGAAACACACACCTATATCGCCAAGAAAGGAGCCTCGCATTCATTCAGCGTCATCTTCTTTAATCCGCCTAACTGCATCTGCCACCTGCAGATGTGGTGACCTGGAGGACAGACAGGCGAACAGCGGTGGGCGTTGTGCGGGACGCATTGGGGTGGGGCGCGGTGCGGGGGTGGGGCAGGGCGGAGCGTGGCACGGAGCGGGGGAAGGAGTGGGGCGCGGAGTGGGGCCCGGGCGGGGCGCTGAGTATGGGGCGCTGGCCGCGGGGCGGGTCACGAGGAGGGGTGCGAGCTGGGATGCGGGGAGGGGCGCGATGCAGGGCGTGGAGCGGGATGTGAGGGGCGCGGGGTGGGGTGGGGAATGCGGGGTGACGCGAGGAGTCGTGGGACAAGAGGCGCGGGACGTGGAGTGGAGGGTACGGGGCGCTGAGCGTGGGCCGAGGGGCGGGGAGTGCGGAGCGCAAAGTGCGTGGCGCGGGGCGAGTGCGCGAGGCACGGGACCCCAGACGCGGGGAGCAGGGTTGGCCGAGTTGGGTGGCGCGGGGCGTGGAGTGGAGGGTACGGGGCGCCGAGCGCGGGATGGGGGGCGGGGAGTGCGGGACGCGGGGCGAGTGGCGCCAGGCACGGGACCTAAGACGCGGGGAGCAGGGCGGCGAGTTGGGTAGCGCGGGGTGTGGAGTGGAGAGTACGGCGCCGAGCGCGTTGCGTGGGGCGCGGAGTGCGTCGCGCGGGGAGCAGGGTGAGTGGAGATGGGGGACGCGGAGGCAAGGGGGGACACGATGGGTCCCGCCGGCGCGACGGACGCCGGCGCCTCACAATAGAAATTAATTAACGGTGAGCCTTCCACATTAATTGGCCGTGGGTTTGAGCCCTGTCAGCCACAATGACGGGCCGGAGAATTCAATCGCGCACGACGGCGTCGGCGGCGCGGGGCCCGCAGGCGGTCGCGCAGGGAGGCGCGGGCGGAGTGGGCGGCACGGGAGCTTGAGAACAAGGGCGGCCCGCCAAAGCCTTAGTTGCCCGCGAGCGACGGCAAAGCCGACAGGGCAGTGGGGTTGAGCCCCGCTTATCCCAAGTACACGCACTCATCCAACGGAGATACAAGCAAGTTATACTTTTCTGTGCTTGACACGCAATTTTTCTAGCACACGATGTTCCCCGTGACTCTTTTTTGTAAGGGTGAGGCAGCTGCCTTCCACTGTGCTGCGGTCGGGGATCCATGTGGAATTGGTGGTGTGCAAAGCTGTTTTTGGACAGGTTTCCTCGATTGGTTGTTTATTTCGTTTTTTTTCGCGTGCGCGTAAACTGCTATGGTCATTAGTACTGTAAGTGTAGATAATGTTGTAACACTGGAGGTGGAAATGTTCTTTCCCTGCAGGACTGTGAGATCTGGCGCTGATTTTCACGTAGGCTTGCACGGTTTTCGCCTTCAAGATAATTACATCAAGAATAATAATCTTAAACATTGGAAGAAATCTTTGGGAGAAATAATTAATCCAATAATATTTGGGAGATATCATTATATCAGGTTATACCTTTTTTGCTTCTGGACATAAATGTAACTTCAAATTATCTTCTTCCCATAGCATGTTACTCACAGTTTTTATCTGTTTTTTATATAAAATAAATAAAGAAACACCGTCGTTCATTAAATATTAATTTTTTACCTGTTCCATTATTATTGGATATGAAGAAAGCCGGGCCAATGTGGACTATTTTGCTAGTTTATTAATATTTTCTCATATTCACTATGAGATAAATATGGTTCATTCAATATAAACTTTAAAAGATATATCTCTATTATTTTACGACCACAAGCTTATATGTACATGTAAAATTATAGTACATTTGCAGCAATATCGCATAACCGCATAAGAGAATTGTAGCGGTGACAGACACCAATGTACACATTTGAACATAATCAATGCGCAGAACTATGCGTTGGCTATTACCAACCTACGTAATCTCCCTGGTGTACAATCCAATCGTTCTCCCAGACAATACCACACGATCGCCGGCGGTTTACTCCTTAACCACACAATTGAATGCGGAGGCCGGTTTGCGACAGAGTACTAAGCAAAGCTGGCGTGGTTAATTGTACTAATTAGATTAACAGAATTCAGTGTTTCTCACGAAATAAAAAAATTAAAAATAACCCATCTATCAAGGCAAAGGTAATGATGAAATTTCTAATCTTGGAGGAATGAGAAAACGTAAAGTTGTACGTGTGTGTTTTAATAAAAATAAGAAGATTTTTCAAACTATTCTTTATTAATATAGCTACGCAGCATAGTTTCGAAAATGTACCTCAAGGCGTGTAAGATGAACCAAAATACCGCATCAAAGAAATTAACACGTAAATATGTTTCCAGTATTTTGTCTTTCGCTGTTGTAACAAATGAAAGATCTTCTACAAATTAGTAATTGTAATAAGAAAATGTAAAATGTTGCAATAATGTTTAAAGTATGCAAAATAATAAAATAATTCATGAAAATCATGATTAAAATATTAGGTATGAACGACAGATTATTTGTAATATTGGTCAGAGTGCTGTCAGCCTATCTTGTCGCAGCTGCAGATCGTGCCACGGCTAGAGAATAGTAACTATTAGATTTAGAGATCGCCTTGTGATTTGCATATTATGTCTTTGACCTCAATGAATAGGTTAATCGTTCTCGAAAACTAAAATTTAGATCAGAAGAAAAATCTATTATCTTCTTGTGAAAAAGTATGAAGCAATAAATGTGTTTTAATTTTGAAATTAATCATTAATTATTATGATTAATTAACATCATTCGAGTTTAGAGAAGCAAATTATTCAATACACTATTGATTTCAATGTAATCATCGTCGTTGTTTTCTTTAATAGCTGAAC